GCGAGGGCTTCATACGGCCCTCATTCCCAACTTTTGGTTCAGTTTTCTTCGTTCGTTTGGCCTGCCGTGGCCATGGCGGGCCTTCCAGGCACGCATTTCTTGTTCCGCCGCCAACCTGCTGCTAGAGAAAATACCCGCAGAGACACTCGTGACTACTCTCAATGGCAGACGCACCCTGCGCCCGTCCCTCCACCACAACCAGTAGTGCCTCCCGTTCCTCCCACGCCTCCTACGCCTCCTACCCCTCCCGCTCCCCCGGCGCCTCCTATTCCTCCCGTTCCTCCGGCCCCTCCCGTCCCGCCTGCTGTTGGTGTTCCGCGACAGGGGGTTCTGCAGCTTCTCCTCCCCCCTGGCTACTCGGCGTTCGACGCCTTCCTGTCCGAGCCTGAACGCAGCGGCGGCGAAGGATCTTCCTCCGCACCAGAGCCACGATGGGGAGCGCCGGCTGATTGCCCGTTGGACGAATCCGCTACCGGTGCGGACGACGACGTGGAGTTCTGGGCTGCTGACGGTCTCCCCGAGCACCTTCCAATTCCCTCCTTTCCCCCTCCGAATAAAAAAAGGCCCCACCCATCTCGCGATAATCGTGATGCCCGTCCTCCCTCCCCCAGGCACAAGCCGACAAAGCACATGCGCAATTCCTACACCTCGCATGAGAAGCTGCAATGGATTCTGAAGCTCGAAGCCGGAGAGATGAGTGTGCGGCGCATGTCTCGCGAATCCGGCATCTCCCGAAGGTGCCTCACGGAGTGGAAGAACCGCAAGGGTGAGCTTGAGGGCGCGCACGGTGCACGCTGTCGCCTGCACAGCCGCAGAAGGAGCTCGTGGTATCGCGACATGGAAGCGGAGGTGTACCGGAGGTTTCTCGCCCACCGCAAGAAGTGCCTCGCCGTCTCGATCGCACGATTGCAGAAGTGGTCGCACGAGGTGATGAAAGAGTTACACCCAGGTGAAAAGTGGGCCGGCTCTCAGCGGCGGACTCAGCGCTTTCGCTGCCGCTGGAACCTGGCGACCAGAGCGAAGACCCGGGTCGGCCAGAAGCTCTCGTCCAGTGAGTTGTTATTTGGTGGTATTGTTGTTTGTCTGTTCCCGTCTATTCACGGCTCTCACTCTGTGTTTGTGCTTTATGTTCCTCCCATCCCGTGTCCCAGACTGCGAGACTGATGTCAAGAACTTCTGGACGTACGTGCGTCACTCCCGCCGGCAGTACAAGATCGACCTGCCGTGGATTCTAAACGCGGACCAGACGCCCCTCTGGCTCGAGATGCCATCCGAACGCACCGTTGAAGAGGTTGGCTCGCGCTCCGTGCCCGTCCGCAGCGGCGGCTACCAGAAAGAGCGGGTTACAGTGATGCTCGCCTGCACCGCCAGCGGGGAGAAGTTGAAGCCTTGGGTCTTCTTCAAAAGGAAGACCGTCCCCAAAGGAGATTTCCCTTCAGGTATGCACCACACGTCGATTACGCGGTGGCATGTCGATGTCAGTTAAAAATTTTAACTAACATCGTGGTTTTGTTGCTGTGCAGATATCCACGTGGGGGGTCCATCCCAACGGGTGGATGGACGCGGACGGTGTCATCGAGTGGCTGGACGGGGCGGTGAAGCCGTACATCAACCCCAAGTTCGGAGTCCGCCCCCGCAAAGCTCTGCTCGTCCTCGATTCGTACCGCGGGCACCTGACCCCAGAGGTGAAGAAGAAGTTTGGCGAGCTGAACCTGGTCTCTGCGGTTATCCCTGCTGGCTGCACCTCGGAGATTCAACCCCTCGACGTCGCGGTTAACCGTTCCTTCAAGGCCGACGTTCGCCAGCTCTACCAGGAGTGGTTTGAGCGTGAGGGGGTCGACACCTTGACGAAGAAAGGTGAGAGGTGCAGCTCTTCTGTTTATGTTTTTATTTATTTAACCCGTGCTGACCCGGTTTCTGGATTTGCGTGGCAGGCAACATCAAGAAGCCTCCTGTCGAGCTGACGCTCAAGTGGATCTCGGCGGCCTGGAAGTCCGTGCCCAATGAGCTCATTCAACGGGCGTTCCTCACCTGCGGCATCAGCAACGCCCTGGATGGGACCCAGGACAAGCTCTGCCTGCAACACAGGCGAGACGAGCTCGAGGGCGAGGAGGTCGACATGGATGATGAAATTGCAGCACACGGTTTCTTCTGCAACAACGTAGAGGAACCTGAGTCGGACTCTGAGGCCGACCCAGATGACCCCACTGCAGCTGATGATTAGAGTAGGGTAGATTAACTAGTGTAGAAAATGGTGAAGCCTGTGAGAGGCTCGTAGGTAGGAGTAGATTAACTAGTTGTAGAGTAATTGACATGATGTTTTAGTATACTAATTATGTAAAAGGTCTTCAAATGAAAAAAAAGAAAAAAACTGGGTGGCGGTTATAAAATAAGGCACAGGTATGCGGTTATAATCCGTAAGCCTTTTAGGTATGCGCTTATAATCGAGCACCGGATATAAGCGCCACACGCCAATTAAAAGCGCCAGGCGCTTATCCGCGGGTGGCGCTTATATCCGGGGTATGACGGTAGTAGATGAGAGCAGTTGTTTTATCACCGCGTTTGACCATTGCGCACCCGACCGCATCTTACAAAGTCAACTGTTTTTTAACAAGAGAAGCTCGATTCCGCAGGACTGTTGCGGGGGGTCACACGCCAGTTCGCTTGCAGTTCATGTAGAACCGAATCAAGAACTGTCCAGAGGGCACAGCTGTGTCACTCAACCACATTGAACATAAGGCTAACTTTTGTGCGACTCGTCTTCATGTTGAATAGAAAAGTCACCACTCTGGCTGTTGGCTGTGCTTGCACGAAGTTAGCAGTGCTCTCAACTCGTCTAGACGCGCTAGTTTGAGTGCATGTTGTTAGTGCTCGTCGAATCAATGTGTAGTAATACCCTTTTCTCAAGGGCTTCGTGTGTGACGGTCCTCGACTCTGAATAGATATTGAGTAGTTATTGACCACAGGTATTTGGCTTCGAGACATGTCGCTCCTCCATCGACAGGCAAAATCTTACAGGAAGGCCAGTTAGTATGCATCAACATGCAAGCGTCGTGTTACTTATCTTTTTCCTCGAAGTGAGTTGATAATGTATGGTCTTCCTTTGAAGCTAATGACCTTTCATTTTCTTAACCGTTTAAAGTCCCAGGTCATATTCTTGCGTGGAGAAATGGCCGAAACACAATGGTCAAAGTCAATTCGTGATCTGGTGCAGTGTGCAGACGGATTCGGAGGCAAAGTCACTGGCGGGCATTCTGGACCTTTCTTTTGGGTCACGACTCTTTCGGATTCTGGGCCTGGTAGTTTGAGGTAAGTATTAAACAACCGATCGCCTTCTTGTGCCATATATTTCGCAACTTAGTTTTTGCCACTCGCCGTGATAAAGGGAGGGAGCAACAATTCACGGCTCGCGCTGGATACTGTTCAACGTTTCTGGAACAATTTGCCTCTCTAGTCCAATCACTGTTGCCTCAAATAAGACAATAGACGGTCGTGGACAACGCGTCGTCATCTCGTGCAATGGTCTTCATATCAGGTTCCAAGCATTTTTCTAGATTCAAATCCCCTTTTAAATTGCAGAGCACTCGTCGTTCTGTAACACTTGAATGGTCGTTTTTGAGTAGACATGGTGCTCAGAACATCATCATCAATAACCTTATCTTCTGGAGAGGTGGAGAGGATGCCATTCAACTGAAGTACGGGGCACAGCGAGTTTGGATCAACCATGTGAGCATTGGAAGATGGGGCGATGGTGCGATCGATGTAACACGTGGCTCCACAGACGTCACGATATCACGAAGCCTCTTTCACCACCACAACAAAGTTATGCTTGTTGGCTCACAGGTAAATGTTTGTTGTATTGTATTGCATCTTAGCAAGCATGACTCTTCCTGACTTCTGTGTTGCATGCCTGGCAGACAGATGCTGAAGAATCAAAAGACCACCCTGTGAATCTTCATGTCAGCATTCATACTAATTGGTTCGCTGGGACCGTTCAGCGCCATCCTCGAGTTGTTGCAGGATTGGTTCACGTATATAATAATGTCTTCCAGCATTGGGGACTGTATGGAGTTGGTAGTACCTGCCATGCTCAGGTGACTGTTTTCTGTACTCTTTCGCATACACAGTGCTCGTCGTTCTCCTTGCTAACATATATTTTGTGCAGATAGCCATGGAGAGCAACATTTTCCTCGCAGGCAGGTCATTTTCAGGCGCTCGAATTTTTGATCGTCTGGATTGGCCCAGTAATTATGGAAGAACCCGGTCTGTTAGAGATTTACTTATTGATGCAGCACATCTTCACGAGTACGATCCAGATCACGTGTTCAACCCTCGAGTACGTACTGGTATGTCGTGTTTGTGCGTCCCTTGGTTACCACACCATGGCTTATGCCTGTTTCTTTGATCAGGACTTCTACGATTATGCTGCAGCTGAAGCTACTCCAGATTTGATGGTTGATGTAGCCAGTAATGCTGGTTGGCATGATGTACGTCTTTCATCCGAGACCGGCAGAAGATGTTAACGTTCATCGGAGTGAAACTTGCTGGATGTGCAACAGCATACCTTGTTGTCACCAAGGACAAATAAGTATGGACAGGATTAGGTGGAAGAGCACACACCAGTTGGGGTCAGCATTACATGCTGGTGCACAATGTGAAAGTGCATTAGTTCCTGCAGCAGAGCACACCACTGAGGAAATATCACATGTTGCCTAGATACACAAAAACTTACATGTCCTAGTCACAAACCATAGACGCAATTTCTATCATTGGCTGCACAGCCCCTACAGAACTACAAATATGGTAAGCAACATGCATGCTAAGCATGTCAAGAGTGTCAGGGAGGTATACATAGATAACCAGGAAAGCCTGTGGCAAAAACTTCTGGCATCAAGAAATGCCGAACAAGGCACAGTCAGTGCCACGTACGTAAGAAGATGCTGAGTAGCATGCTGCTGACACTGACGGCGTATCATGCTTGGGCTCAAAGCAGCTGGTGATCAGCGCATCCGAACATGCTGGTTCGGGAGAATGAGGTCCGGATTTCGAATGTGTGGGTTCAGCTTCACCACATCCTTCCACTTTGTGCCGCTGCCATGCACCTTCTGTGACAAGCTCCACAGAGTGTCACCCGACTGTACAGTCACCTTGGCAGGCTTGACTGGCCCCGTAGACCTCTTCGGCTTAGCTGCTCCCTTCTTCGCCATGCCATTGGCTGCTAGCCACCTCGACCCTGCCTGCCCCTGCTTCTGATTCCCCCATCCCCTCTTTGCCGCCTCTTCGGATTTCAGCCCCATCATGTGCACGCCTGTCAGTTTGAACCGTGCTTTCTCCACGCCGCCTTTCCCCCCCGGCTGCTCCTCATCATCCACCTCCTCCACAATCGGATCCCCATCCCTCCGCCGATTGCTCGCTCCGTTCCGCACTGTCAGAGGCCCTCCAGAGGGCCGCACAGCCGTGCCCGTGTGCAGATTGTACGCTATCCTCCTCACTCCTGCACCTCCTGGCAACGCCTTAGCACCTCCCTCCAGCGATGCTACACCATTACCTCTGCTCTTCTCATCATCATCAGCAGCAGCAGGGGGGGCTCGTTCCGCCTGCAGCAGGGCCATCATGGGCGCACCCACAGGCTCGAAATTCCTGAGAGGGTCCCTCAGCTGCACCAGCATCGCCACTGTCACCTTATCCCCCATCAGCCCCCCATCTCCCCCTCCTCCAACCCCACCCACCATACCCCCCATCCCTCCCATACCCATCATCCCCATCCCCCCACCCCCCATCATCCCCATCCCTCCCGCACCTCCCCACGCCGCCAGCCCCCGGCCCGCTCCCATCCCTCCACCCACCCCTCCTCTCACGGCCGCCAGATCCGTCCTCAACCGCGCAATATCATGCAGAACCATCTCCCCCGCGCCATGCGCCGCACAGTGCGCCTGCAGCACAGCTAGAGTGTCATCCTCTGTCTCAAAGTCCTCGAATATCCCCGCATCCAGCCGCTGCCACTCGTCTAATGATACAGCCAGCCCCATCGATCCGTTTCCTCCCGCCACCACCATCGCCCACTCGTCCCCTCCCGCACCCATCTCCGCCCCTCCATACCCCCCATTTGTCAGCATCCCCGCTCCCCCACCATACATCAACTCCCCCATCCCTCCCCTCCCCGCTCCCCCTCCCATCCCCAACGCGCCATACCCACCCATCCCCAACGCACCCCCTCCCCCACCCTCCTTCCCCAGATCAATCGCATACGGCGCCAGCACATCAGAAGCGTCGTTCTGCACTCTAAGCCCCTCCAACGCCATCCGTTCGATCTGCTCCATCGCCAGCGCGCCCAGCTCATCCAACGGCACATATTCGTCCTCGCCATCCTCCCACCCCTCCTCCTCCATAAGCATAAGCTCCCTCTTCAAATCCTCGTCCATATCCTCTGTAAACAAATCCCCTGCAAGCAACCTTCTGTCTCCGTTCAATCCGTCCCCTCCCTTCCCTCCCTTCCCACCAACACCAGCCAGCTCCCCAGCCGTCCGCCTTAGCAGCGCCAGCCGCCCCTCCTTGGCTCCGCCTCCCCCAGTTGCGCTCTCCCCTGCTTCCCCCTCCCCTCCCCCTCCGCCCTGCTCCAGCAGAAGTTGCTTCTGCATAATCCTCTGCTTTGCCACGGCTATCATCCTGCCTCGGCGCCGCAGCCGAACCAGAGTGCCAGCCAAGGCGGACTGCCGAGCCACCGCCGCCATAGCTTCGGGCGTCAAGCCGCCGCCCATACCTAATGCCAAGGCTCCTGCCGAGCCTCCTCCCACTGTTGCCAGCTGTCCCGCACCTACATGCACCAGCTGCCCGCCTTGCATCCCTGCTGCTGCTCCTTCCAAAGCCAAGTAATTTCCTCCTGCACGCCCCTCCAGGGCCAGATAGCCTTCTCCTCCCCCCAATGCTGCTGCTGCTGCTGCACCAAGTGCCCTCCTGTAACCGGGAAAAGAGGCAGGGTTGACGAAGCAGGGGAAAAGGAAGGGAAGTGTTGAAAAAGGATTCAGGAAGGGAGGGGGAGTGGGGAGAGAAGGAGGATAAGTAGCATGTGATGGCACTCGCTTCATGCAAGCACCACTCATGCCCACTGAAACGAGTGAGAAACTGGTTTAAAACTGACAACTGTGTGGAATGCCCAGCCTCGCAAAAGGAACCCATCGTGTCACTCGCGTCTCCCGCGCTCACCCATGCATTGACAGTCTCCATTCCCCAAAATCCCACCTATGAGGCGCGCCGAGCAATGCATCAGGGCCGAGTGGTGCACACCAAACTCTAAACCCTAAAGCAGCATTTTGCTAGCACTCCTTTCATGTGCGCACCGCCCGCGCACCGGAACTGACTTCTGTTCACTCCCAGCCTCGCAAGACACCCCCCTAGTTTCACATGTAAAGCTCGTTCCCGGCTCTGACCAACACACACACTCACTGGCTCACTCACAACCACAATTCTTCTCACCTCTGAGGCGCGCCGAGCCTCCTCAGATGCTCCTCGTATCCCCCTCCCCCCGCCCCATCCAGGAACAGCAATCCCTCTGCCGCCATCTGCTCTAGCGCCTTGCCACTGACGTCTGGTAAGGGCATGAGCATGTGCGCCTGCTGCGACAGTGCGTCTATTCCCAACGCCGCCATGCTCTGTATGATGTCCGCGCCTTCTATGCCCATCTCCTTGGGTACCACCACTGCCCGGGAGAACTGGGAGGGGAAGACGGGAGGGTGAGGAAAGTGGGGAGGGGCAGGGGGGCAGGTAGTGGGGGGAGAGAGGGCATGAGAATGTGCACCTGCCACCATGCTTTGAATGATGTCAATGCCCTCTATGCCCATCTGCTTGGGTACCACCGCTGCCCTCTATGCCCATCTGCTTGGGCACGGGAGAATTGCAGAGGGTCGAGGATTGGGGGGAGGAGAGGGGCAGAAGGGGGGAATGGGAGTGGTACAGGGGAGGAGGGGACTTTTGAGTCGACTCAAAAGTCACCTCGAGGGGCAGAAGGGGGGAATGGGAGTGGTACAGGGGAGGAGGGGAGAGAGAGAGGGCATGAGTTTGTGCGCCTGCTGCGACAGCACGTCTATTCCCCCCTGTAGCGCAAGCAATGGATAGAGGCACACCCCTCTCCCCCCCCTCCTCCTCTCTTTCACCTCTCTCCCAGCTCGCTCACCTGCATGACCAGCCGGCTCGCCCCTTCTGAGAAGTGTCCCCCCCTTCCTACATGGAAGTGACGTTTGAGAATTCTCAAAAGTCGCACCAACATGGAAGTCAGAAATCCGCCCCCAGGCAGCGCGATCACGGACCCCATGCCCTGCACCAGCTCGGGGGGGGCCATGGTGGGCGGAACCGCCAGCACCATGGGGTCCGCGCCCTTCAGCGCGCCGAGCTGCGGGTCCGCGCCCCTCCCCCGCTCACCTCTCACCCACCTCTCGCCCCATGGGGGTCCCATCTGTCCCTGCCGTCAAATCTCCCCACCACCGCCCTTACCTGCATGACCAGCCGACTGGCGCCTTCAGTAAAATGCCGGCCCGACATGGACGTCAGGAACCCGCCCCCAGGCAGCGCGATCGCGGACCCCATGCCCTGCACCAGCTCGGGGGGCGCCATGCTGGGCGGAACGGCCAGCACCATGGGGTCCGCGCCCCTCAGCGCGCCGAGCTGCGCCAGCCCGCCCGCCCCGCCGTACAGCGCCGCGCTGGCGGAAGCCAGCCCCGTCGCGGCGCACGTGGGCGCGAGCACGCTGTTGAGGCTCTTCAGCGGGGGGAGGTCGAAGGAGCCGGGGGAGAAGGCGGAACCGGGGAAGGGGGATGGGGGGAAGGGGGATGCGGGGAAGGAGGGGGAGAATGTGGTGGTGGTGGTGGCGGTGACACCCCCCACGCTGCTGCGCGTGCTGATGCTGTTGATGCCGCCGCTGCTGCCCGTGTTCACAGTCGTGAAAGGCCCACGCGAGGGCATGTGCATTCCCCCGAACCCCGCGCCTGGCGCCAGCGCGCCCTGCTGAATCGCCGCCAGCGTCATTGCGCTTGGCGCGCCTCCTGCGCCTCCTCCCTCCCCGCCTCTTCCCCCGCCTGCTGTTACCAGCCCGCCAGGCCCCGCCACGGGCATTATCGCCCCCGCGCCTTCCGCGTCTCCGCCAGAGGATCCGCGGCCGGCCCCCTTCTTCCCTGCGCCTGCTGCTGCGCCCGCCGACACCAGTCCGCCAGGCCCCGCCACAGGCACCATCGCTGTGCACGCTGCTGCTTCTGCTGCTGCCGCCGCTTCTGCTGCTGCTGCATCAGCGGGGGAGGTCAGCGCACCTCTCGCCCCTCGCCCCACCCCTTCCCCTGCTCCAATCCTGCTTCCGCGCCCAATACCGCTTTCCCCGCTCATCTTAATCTCAATCGTTCCGCCGCTTCTCCCGCTGCCGCCCAGAGGCCCCGCCGCCCCCCGCACGAGCGCCCGCGGGATGCCAGTTGTCACCTCCTCCACCTCCGCTGACGTGGACAGCTTCCGCGCCGAGCCCCTGCCAGCTGGCACGAGCGCAGTCGACGTTCCGGAAGCCTCCGCGCTCGCGCTTCTCCTCGCTTCCGCTTCCGCCTCCTCCTCTTCCCCCTCCCACCCCTTCCCCCCGCGCCCTTCCTTCCCCGCCGCGCGCTCCTCCTCCATCAGCCGCACTCTCTCCTGCACCGTCAGCCTTCCCCCCCTCCCCCTGCCTCCGCCCGCTCCCCCGCCCGCCGCCCCCCGACCGCCTACTCTCGGCACAAGCGCACTACTAGCGCCCGCGCCCCTCCCCGCACCCCTCCCGGCGCCGTTCCCCGCGCCGCTGCCAGCGACGGCGAGCGGGCCCGCGGTGGACCAGCGCTTGCGCGCAGGGGCAGCAAGAGCCGCGGAAGCGGTAACAGCGGCGGCAGCAGGGGGCGCGCCCCTGCCCCTCCCCGCCACCACCAACGCTGCGGACTGCACACCTGCCGCAGCAGCAGCAGCAGCAGCGGGTTCCGAAGCAGGTGCGGCAGGCAGGGCGACGGCAGCAGCTACGGGAGCCGCAGCGGCGGCGGCGGCGGCGGGCGCGTGGCCGCGGAAGCGCAGCATGAGCGCGGCCTCCTCCTCCGAGTCGAGCAGGCGCGCCTTGCGGCGGCTCTTCTCCTCTATCTCCGCGCGCTGCTGCTCCTCCTCCGCCTCCCGCAGCATGCACGACAGGTCGTCCTCGCCCTCCCCTTCCCCTTCCCCCACATCCTCCCCCTGCCCTGCCTCCCGCCCTACACCATTGCACGCCATCATGCCTTCACCCACCTCCTCCTCCTCGTCCTCCTCTTCCTCCTCTTCTTCCTCCTCCTCCTCATCCTCGTCTGCATGTGAAGACACCTCTCCACTCCTCTCCATCCACTCGGGCTCGCTCGCGCCAACACTATTGCTGCCCACGCGGCTCGACGCCTGGCGCGCGGGGCTCAGCAGCCCTTCCGCCACGCCCAGCAGCCCCCCCTCCCGCCCATCCTCCCCCTCCTCCCCTTCCCCGTCCTCTCCGCCGCCAAACCCGTCAAGACTCCCCGGCGCGCCGTCGAGCGCGCCGGACTGCATGAGCAGCTCGAGAAACTCGTCGGATACCAGATCCATCTCCTCCTCCAGACCCGCCGCATTCCCCGCCGCATTTTCCGCTACTTTCATATCCCCGTCCGCCCACTCGCGCCCCGGCGAGTAACCGTAATCGCCGCCAGTCAGCCCTTTCCCGGATTCTTCCCCCTTCCGTTCCGCCACCTCCGCGCTCCGCTCCGCCTGCAGCGTCCACTCGAACTCCAGCATCGCCTGCGCCATGCGCGATCGCCCGCCCTCGCCCGCCGAACTCGCCGAGTCCAGCGACGCGTCGCGGCCACTGGTGGTGGTCGTCGTCGAGGTGGTGGTGGTGGCGACGCTGGTGGTGGCCGTGCCTGGGTCCACCCGCACCGTGCGCTCCTCCCCCGAATCCCTCTGCACCGCATAACCTCCCATCACCTTCTTCACCTCCACTCTGCCGCCCTCCTCCTCCTCCTCTTCCTCTTCGTCCTCCTCATCCTCGTCTTCATCCTCTTCATCGTCATCCTCATCGTCCTCCTCATCATCACTCTCTTCTTCTTCCTCGTCTTCCTCTCCCTCTTCCTCCTCCTCTTCGTCGTTAAGCCCCTCCCCTTCCGCCAAAACATCCGCCAAGTCCACCGCCTCCCCCTCCCCCTCCGCCTCCTTCTCCGCCGTGCCCCCTCCGCCTCCCCCTCCGCTCGCCCCGCCCTTGCCCTCCGCGCGCGTATCCTTCGCCGCAACTTTCTCCTTCTCCTCCTCCTCTTCCTCCTCCTCCACCACCGTCCGCATCGCGCTTCCGCCCGACATCATGCGCATCAGCGGGCCCGTGCGGGTTCCGCGGGCGTCCCTCTGGGTCCGCGCGCTCTGCGGCGCAGCAGAGCGATCCGCCGGCGCTTGGTACAGGGAGAACGACAGCTTCTTCTTCTGCTTCGGCGAAGCTTCGTCCTTCTCGCTTCCGCCGCGCGGACTCGCCTGCGGGCTCCCCGGGGGACTGCTGGACGGCGACACCGCCGCCGCCGCCGCCGCGATCGCCGTCGCGGCGTACAGGCGGAACGACTTGGTGTCAACCCGCGCGAGGAAATTAACGCCGCGGCCGAGTTGTAACTCATACCCGAACGTCGCGACCATGACGGCCCCCTCCGCCAATCCCGCGAGCTGAAAGCTCAGCGTCACGGGCTGCCCCTCCTTCTCGTGCAGCGACGCGGGGAGCAGCTTCGCTAGATCCACGGAATGCCGCCCAAGCTCCGCGACGTAGCCAATCCCGGAGGTCTTGAGCATCTGCACGCAGAGCGTCGACGCTTTCCGTTTAAACTTCACCGTGCCCTGCGCTCCGGCGTTGAAGAACATCGTGCAGGACATCGTGAGCGTCTGCTCGAAGCGCGCGACGCCGCGGTGCACCACCATGGGGCTCGTGCCGACGGACATGCCGCGCCGCAGCCATTGCACGACGAGCTCCTTCCCCTCCATGTCTTTCGGGAAATTATCCACCCCGTGCACGTGCATCGCTACAGTGCACTGCGCCTTCTTGCTCCCCACGCGCCCCAACAGCCGGAACGGCGCGAACGTCTCGAGGAAGCTCGGCTTCTCCGGAACTTGCGGGATGACGAGGTTCCGGCTGAACTTGACCTGGTCCGCGAGCCAGGCTCGGAAGTCGACCGAGGCTAGGTTTGGTTCGTCCGTTGGCGGGTAGTGGCTGTACGCGTGGTTGTGAGTGAAGACGGCGACATTTTTGTTGAGGGTTTCGGACGCGTGGACTCCTGCGTGCAGCACGCGGCTCGATTCCTTCGCGCTGATGCTGCGGCCGTGTAGGGCGAGGCCGGATTTCCGCTGCACTCCCACCCTCGAGTCGTCCATCGCGAGAGGCTACGCGACGGACTGGTTTCTAAGATGGAAGGCTGGTTTCCGTCAGTTTGTCACTCCTTACGCATTCTGCCAGTCTTACTATATTTTTAAATGATAGTCCACCGGAAAGGTCTTCTTAGAGACGAAGGTTACGCAAGCAAGACCTTGCGAACTACATGAACGCGAGATGCGGGGACACTGGTTCCTAGAGAATGCTGCATGCCCTGTCGAGTTTCGACGAGGCCGATGCGAGGAACCAACGACAGGCCACTGAAGTGTCTCTCTGAGACCGAGTGGGCAGAGCAGAGACGAGAAGAAGCTCTCCTGTTGTCGAGCGTGTAACTACAGGAGACGAGGAAAAGCTGTGTGGTGTGGGACGGATGGAAGCTATGGAGGGTGCTCACTCGCTTCACTTCGCCAACCACTTCCCGTGCGGTTCAGCACTTTTCTGCGTGGTTAGGGTGTTTCAGATCTGACTGTGCACGATGCCGAGGGTAGTTAGGGAAGAAACAGATCAGGTGCGGAGAAACGGACTCGAACTGGTTCGTTGGTACGTATGGCGCAGGCTCGCTATGTGACGCGGGATATCAGACAGGCTCGGTAACAAATAGATAGCTCTCAGGGCGTGTGTCATTTTGTGTAAACGTTCGGAAAAATGGTCGCCCTTTTGCTGGTAACCAACTTCTTTGCGACGTTCGTGTGTCCATGTAAAATGTTTGAGAAAACTGGGGTCGACCTCGATTTCGTTTTATCCGTCCACGTTTTTCCAATTGTGTGTTCTTCTGCTCACGCACGAAGCAGTAGCGAAACCTGCGACGTACATGAACTGCATTGTAACGTGTTACCGAAGTCGGATTCGGTCACGAACTTCTTTCTATAGACCAGGTAACCGACGAAACGTAGGCACGACTCGAAATTTACTGTATAATGTCGGCCTTCCTCAGTCGAACTTTGTTGGTCCATGTGCTTGATGTGAAAAAAGAAGGGAAAAAAATGAGAAGGAAAAATGGAAAATTATCGGGATAGTCGACTACAGGTCGACCAAGGTTCAAATGCATAATGTCGAAAAAAACATGAACTCGCTACACTCCAAAAGACACACGCCCAAAAAGCTGGCTTGAGAAATGGCCTGGCAGGAATTTCTGAGTGTCATTATTTTTCGTGATTCGCTGTTGCCCTTCGATGGTTGCGGCTTGGAGTGACGAGTCGGATCTGCTGATTCATTTGTCTGCCCGCAAACTGCGCTAGAGGCACTGCTGCCACCAGTCATCTCGTCTCCCCAGAGCTCACTTCCGCGCCAAGGGGAGTCCGAGCCATGTTTGACACGCCCAAAGCTGCATCTCCGGCCTGGTTAGAGACGTGCGGCACGTAGGTTTCGAGCCTAACCTTCGGTTTGTGTGAGCCTTCTGACATGCCGCACCCAACATTTCTTGGCAAGGAAGGCGCTTGGTGAAGTTTGATGTGACAGGTGACACCCAGATGCTTGCGCCAAGCATCGTCCACTTCACAGCCGGGTGCACTTTCTTGAAATTGAAGTTATAGACGAGGGAGGGTAAATGGTAAGGAGAAAGAAAGAAAACACCTAGAAAGAAAAGGTAAGATCAAAGTAAAACCAAGTTGAAAAGCAAAAACAAGTTGAAAGGAAATCTTGAAGTATGGAGTAATTAAGAATGAAGAAAGTTTTGAAGGAGAAGATAGATAGACTTGATAGGGATAAAAGGGACCAAACAAGATTGGCTTAAAAGAAAGTATTGAAGAAAAGGTAAAGGGCTTGAAAGATACTTGAAAGGAACTTGTAACGAACTTGAGAATAAGAATTTGATTATTATGGAAAGAGCTTGAATATAAAACAACTTGATAATAGCAAATGAACTTTGATGTAAAAGAAACTTGGTGAAAAATGAGAGGAAGGGATAACCACTTACTTGAAAAGAGTTCTTACTATTATGTTGTAGAAGTTGATCTTCACTTCAAGCTTAAATGTTGTCTTAGTTGTTAATGAAGAACCTCAAAGCTTGAATGTTGAGAAGTTGATCTTGAATGTTGACTTGTAGATAATGTTTGTTGAATGAAGAGAAATCTCCAAGCTTGGATGTTGAGGTTGGAGCTTGGACCTTGGGTAGAAGAATACACCAATCTTGCTTGAAGCTTTAAAGTACATTAATCAAAGGGAGGTACATGGTAGGATCTTGAGATCAACTATCCTTGATGATCTAGAAGTAAAACTATGTGGCACAAACTTCTCTAGAATTGGAGCACATGGCTATGAGCTTGGGTTGGGAGAGGTTGGTGGTGATGATGAAGCCTTAGGAGTTGGAGCATAAGGAGGAGGACTTGAGGTTGGCCTTGAGGGAGTTTGAAGAACTTGTTGAGAGTTTGGGTATGAAGTAGCATTGAAGAATATTTTTTTGAAGAAATGAAGAGGACCCTTTTGTATTTGGTGGAGCTTGATGTTGGATGAAGGATGAGGAAAGGGTGAATGGTTGTGATTGGTTGAGTTGGATAAGATGGGGGTGATGAATGTGGCCTTGAAGTGAAGGCTTGGTGAAGAGAATGAATGTGGCCTTGAAGTTAAGGCTTGGTGAATGGGATGTATTTGGCTTTGATTTTAAGGCTTGGTGAGTGGAATGAATGTGGCTTGGATTGGAAGGCTTGGTATGGAATCTTTTGTTTGATTGGTGGATAATGTGATGAGAAAGATGATGAGGATAGGAGGAGAGTTGAGGTGGAGGATTGATAGGTTTTGATTGGTAGGTTTTTGCTGTCTGGAGATAGGAAGGGTGTGGTGGCGAGTGGGCATTTTTGCAAGATGCCTTTTGCATATTCGGATTTTGGCTGACGGGGAAATTGCGGCGAAAAATTTCGCCACGTGAAATATTTCCCGCCACCCTGGTGCCACGCGAGCAGCAGCCACAGTTCACTGCAACACCCCCCCGCACTGCTGACTCTCAGAGCGAGACGAAGAAGGAGCGGAAGGGACAGCAGTGGAGAAGGACTCAAGAGACTCGAGCGGCACCAATCCAACACGGTGGCGTCCAAGGACGAATTGGTGCCGTGGAAGTATCTTAGTCAGAAAATCAGCAGCCTGGTCCGTGGTGCTGCAGTAGACCGGTGTCACAACCTTGTTCTTAATCAGCTCCCGAATGTAGTGATACTGGGTATCAATATGCTTGGTGCGTCCATGATAGACCGGGTTCTTGCTCAAGGCGATTGCCGACGTGTTGTCAATGTGGAGAACGGTCGGCTCAAGCTGGGGAAGACCCAACTCCATCAGCAACCCTCGCAACCACACAGCCTCTCTTGCTCCTTGCGTCACAGCCATGTACTCCGCTTCCGTTGAAGATAGTGCCACACAGCCTTGCTTCTTCGATTGCCAAGAAATCGCTGCTCCCGCCATCACAAACATGTAGCCTCCCGTGGATTTACGCTTTGAAAATGGACCTGCCCAATCCGCATCCGTAAAGCCATGCAAGACACTACCATGCTCATGTCCATGAAAGAGGAGACCAAATGATTTAGAGCCGGAGAGATAGCGCAGGACACGCTTTGCAGCGTTCAAGTGCTGAGTAGATGGTGAGGAAAGGAATTGAGAAAGCATGCCCACAGCTTGAGAGAGATCGGGGCGGGTGCAGACGGATGCGTACATGAGGCTACCGACAATGCTCTGGTAAAGATTAATGTCGAGGGGGGAAAGGAGTGATGAGGGAGGTTTGGTGGAAGAAAAAATGGAAGAAGAGGATGAAGGCGCAAGAGCCTCGTGAAACTCGTCCCAGTCAGAAAGGGGTGCAGACTGAGAGGGCTGAAGGTCAGAAGTGGAAGGAGAAGAATGCTGGAAGTTAGAAGGGAGAGGTGTAGATGCAGGATTGCAGGTGAGAAGGCCGAAGCGAGAGAGGACCTTGTGAATGTATCGCTCTTGTGAAAGAAATAGAGAGCGAGAAGGACGGTCACAATGATGTTCATGCCAAGGTAATATGATGGCTCACCCATGTCTGTCATGACAAACTCCTTGGTGAGCATACCTTTGATGTGGGTGAGAAGGGAGAGAGAACCTGACACCATGAGGATGTCATCCACATACACGATCAACCACAGTACCTCATGCACCTCCGTGTGCAGGATGTAGAGTGCAGGGTCATACTCAGACTGGGTGAAACCTTGTGCCAGCAGGGCAGACTCCAATGCGTGATACCAAACCCGTGGAGCTTGCTTCAGGCCATACAGGGACTTGTGTAGCCTGCAGACTCTCATAGTACCATCATGATACCCATCAGGTTGAGCCATGTAGATTTCTTCCTCTAAAATGCCGTAAAGAAAGGCGTTGGAGACGTCCAGCTGGATGATGTAGAGATCCATTCGTACTGCCATACCAAGAAGAGCGCGGACACTAGTGAACTTGGCGACCGAAGCAAATGTTTCATTGTAGTCTTCTCCAGGAACTTGAGAATATCATTTGGCGACCAAACGAGCCTTGAACTTGTCCAAAGATCCATCACCCTTCACCTTCACCCGGTAGACCCATTTTACTCCCACGAGCTTCTTTCCCTTGGGTAGTGGCTCCAAAGTCCAAGTCCCCCGGTCGAGTAAACTTTCCAGTTCTGCCTTTTCCGCTGCTAACCACTGCTCCTTAAAGGCTCCTGCCATAGCTTCTTTGTGATTGAGAGGCTCGGGTGGAAGTTGGGAAATGGCGAAACAGGTGGCGTGAATCCTGCATTGGAAGCAGGTGCGACCACTACACAAATGACTTGGAGGTGAGGTGAAAGTGGACACCGGCACATGAGAGGTGAAGTTCGCAGATGACGAAGTAGAAGATGAAGATGGTGCTGCAAAGTGCGACGTGCTCATCGCTGGTGGGTAGTTGATATCGATCCGGTTGGGTGAGGGAGGTGGTGCTACCGGTTGAGAATGGTCTTCTGATGAAGTTCTATCAGGCGGAGTTGTCGAATGCAGGTGTTGGAGATGGGAAGATGTGTGCTGTTGTGTTGGTGGTGGCTGCACGGTTGACGGTACGGGTT